CCATTTCAACTTTGCCAACCTTTGTTAAGCCTTAATTTTTTCTTTTCTTTTTTTTTTGAGAGAAAGAGAGCACGAGTAGGGTTGGAAGACAAAGGGAGGGGGAGAAAGAGAATCTTAAGCAAGCTCCATGCTCTATGGGGAGGCTGACATAAGGTTCGATCTCATGACCTGAGATCATGACCTGAGCTGAAATCAAGAGTTGGATGCTTAACCAACTGATCCACCCAGGCACCCTCAAAACCTTAACTTTTTAATGTTAGTGCTCATCCTTAGACACAAACCAGACCACCCTCTTGGCTTCCTAGGGGGAGTTATGGTGTGGATGACAAGAGACTACTCTGTACTATGAGAGAAAAGGTAAATGTGTAGGGATTAAAGGAAAGAGAAAGATAAATTCGAAATGGGCGTCTTGGCCAGTTTCCAAGAGGAGATGGGATAAGGAGCACGGCCAAGTCTTTTGTAGACATTGATGCATACATTCCTTAAGTATTTCATGTGCTCCTGTGCTGGTTGCAGGGGACACAGTGGTGAGCAAGGCGGGCCAGATTTCTTCATCCACAGAGTTTAGAATAAAGTGGGGGAGACATTCCTTAATCTGATGACCCCACGCATATGTCTATAATTACACACTGTGCACCTTTTAGTACCAGAGCTGACGGTGTTTAATGTGACCCGATATATGGAAACAGGGAAAGCTCTTGGGGGAGGGAGTGTGGAAGGCTTCCCTGAGGAGTGATTTTGGAGTGAGATCTGGAGAATGAGTGGCAGTTACACAACCATGTGAAGCTAGCTGGACAGACAAGCTGGGCAAGGTACTGCTGGTGAAGACTGCCCAGGGAGAAGTCATGGAGGGTGATCAAATGAAAAGAGCCTGTGTGCCTGGAGCACAGCGAGATGGGACAAAGATCAGCAGCAAAGAGATTGCAGGGTTCATCCAGGGAAAGACACTCCCCTGGCAGGAGTAAAAGGTGCAGAGCATGAAGCAAATTAAACCGGAAATCATGACTGAGATCCTTCGCATTCTGGAAGAATATGCAAAGCAGGTTAGAGAGTTTGAACGGTAGTCTATAGGTAACAAGAAATCATAGGCACGTAGTGATGGGGTCAGACCTGTTTAAGAATGAGTGTTCTAAAAGCAATATTAACATGGATTTTGGTGCAATGACCAAGTGGAAGAAAGGGATAATAATTAGGGGGTAATTGTAACAGCCAAGTGAAAGGGAGCAAAGTCTTGAACTAGGGTAGTGGGAACCGGAAGAACTAAAGGGGTACAGAGACATTGTGAAATAGAATCCACAAATCTGGGGGCAAATTTCATGTGGATGTGAAGGGGGCTGGAGCAGAGAGAGAAGGAAGAAGTTCTTAAATGATGGAAACGTTTTGAACCTAAACATTTTGAGGAAGACACCAATGTTAGAGTTTAGGAAGAAGAGGAGTCGGAGGCTTTGGGGATGTGATATTTGTTTCAGATATGCTAGAATGACCTCTGGGGCAGACAAATAGCTAATTCTGATAACCTAGAGTTCTTCAAAGGCTGTATTTGGAAATAAAGGTAGGCAAGTCAGTCAACCAACAATATTTACTAGGTGCCTATTATGTGCCAGGCATTATTTTATACACTAAAGATGGAATTCAAAATTAATTTGATTCCTGCCTTCATGGAATATGACTTGTATATAAAAGGTAGTTTGCAAAAAGAAAGAAAGAAAGAAGAAAGAAAGAAAGAAAGAAAGAAAGAAAGAAAGAAAGAAAGAAAGAAAGAAAGAAAGAAAGAAAGAAAAGAACCCAAACATCACACGATTAACCCCCAAAACAAACTATAAACAAGTGGCAGATGAATGAGACAGCATTTCATAGAATTGTCCATTATCTGGTATCAAATTTGCAAAGTATAGCATTGTGAAGGTTAAGGCTCTGCTCTTAGGAGAGACATTACAATGCAAATTCAAATCACCAACTCTCATCAAAGGGGAGGTATACTTTAAAAGCTCCTTGTGAATTTCATCCAAGAATTTAGAGGACACAGCAAAGGACAGGATAAATAATAGATTCTTATTCTTTGGGAAAGAGAAAGAAGGCACAGGGAAATCCCACTAGCAAAGACACTTAAATATCTTGCCCCTTCATCAACACTCGGAGTACATACCGAATTTCAGGAAAAAAAAAATAAACCTTTGCCATTTTTACTGCCAAACTGCCAAACCCATCTCGTGTTGCAGCTGCAGGAATGATAAGGCTCTCAGGGCTTATCGTTGTTGGAAATAAGCAGATAATGGACAAAGTATAATATAGTAACAGAAATTATCTTCAGAAGGAATGAACAGCAAAGGATCTTTAAGGGCTCAGATAAAAAAATCTGAAAACAAAAATAAAATAAATAAATTCAATTAAGTTAAAGGCTAAAACCAAACAAATATATATACACACAGGTATCTACATCTACATCTGTAGGTACAGATATGGATATATAAAGATTAGATAGATAGATATAAGTATATATAAAATTGAGCCAAGATATTAAAAAAATTAAGTAGGAGATTACAACTAAAATGTAAAATGTCTATAATCATTCAGCGTATTAAAAATCTGGTCTATTGAACTAGTTGATGCTGAAGGTCCTTGAAAGAGTAAATGTGAGAGAAGAACTAAGAAAATGGTGAAAAACAATTCTAATGGGGGATTCTTAACTAGTTATCAAGGTTACTTTAAATCTACAATAATTAAAACCAGTGCAGATTAAGCAAGCACATCAAAGAAATAAAAGAGTCCAAATAGAGACCCAAGTATGAGATTTCAGTAAATGAAAAAGGTTCATTTCAGACCAGTCGTAAGAATTGATCAGTTGCCTACATAAATGGTGTCAGAATAATAAGCAGCCCATTTAGAAAAATAAAGTATGATCTCCAAAGAAAAGGATAATCTTTGCTTCACTGATTTGGCCCCAAGAAACTTTTCACTCTGGTTTTATCAATTCAAACAATTTTTAATACCACAATTTTACCAACACTGATGAATTTTCCTTGAGAAACATTCTGGAATTATACTATTTTTATTTTCCCTTGACCAATTGGCTAGATAGGATAACGAAAATATTCCTCTAATCATCATCATTTCCATACCAAAATTATTTTCACTGAGACCAAGTTTTTTTAAGGTAAATCTTATATAGCAAATTGTTCTATCCTTAGAAAATCTTACCAAGTAAAGCTTCTGCCACTCTTAGTTTTCTCCTATGACCATTGTTTTTATCAAGTCAAAATATTTCCCAAGTCAAATACTGCAGATATAAATTTGCCAAAAAGATTTATTTTCCTGGAAGTAACTAGTTAATAACTTATTTTACCATGTGCACTTGTAACTGTCAGCCTTAATTTGTGTTGATTACATATTGGTGGGGTCAAAACATCCTACATCAGATTCCTACCTCACAATTCACACACAAATAAATTCCAGATGGATTAAAAATTGTCCAATAAGCACAAATAACAAAGTATTAGAAAAAACATAGCAGACCATACATATATACATATACATACATATATATGTATATATATATATATATATATATATAAAACATTGGAGCAAAAAAAGCCTTTCTATGCATAACCCAAAAATCTGAAGCCATAAAATAAGTTTGACTCCCTTTACCCATCCCAGCTGAGCCAGAACACTAGCATTTTTCAACTGTTCCATGGAGGTTGATATAGGGTTCTAAGAGTCAGGGTCTCTTGCCATGGGAGGGGGTAGGTAAGTAAAGGGCTGATTAATAACAGATGTAGGTACGGACAATGGATATTCAAAGGTCTGTGGAAGATATATGTGGGATTGGAGTTTTTCATTATTTTCAAGTATTTTTATCATTACAAATATAGTACATCATCACAGTTAAAAATTTAAAACAATCCAACAAGTTTAGCATAAAGTAAAAGCATGCATTACCCCTAAATCTACTTACAGGGAGAACTATTGTTGATAATTCGATGAATATCATTCCAGGTCTTTTTTCCAGTCATTCATCTTTTTACTTATTGCCCTTAGATCCTGGACCCGGAAACTGGAAGTCTAGTTGGGTTGTGTGTGTGTGTGTGTGTGTGTGTATGTATACATATGTATCTATGTATATGTATATATACCTATGTATGTATATGTATACCTTTATGCACACACAACTCACTCTCAGACATCATCTCTCATACATATTTTTTAAATGAAGTCATAACTTACAAGAGTTGGTTTATCTAGTTTCATGGATTTACATACCATCTGTACATATCCGGATGCACTTCAAGAAGAGATGGAAGAAAGGAAGGAATTGAGACACACTCACCAGTAAGTAGAGATCACTACTACACTGGTACTTTTACGACCTTTTTTTTTTTTTTTACCCTTTTTTCTCTTTGAAGATTTTATTTATTTATTTGAGACAGAGAGAATGAGAGAGAGAGAGCACATGAGAGGGGGGAGGGTCAGAGGCAGAAGCAGGCTCCCTGCTGAGCAGGGAGCCCGATGCGGGACTCGATCCAGGGACTCCAGGATCATGACCTGAGCCAAAGGCAGTCGCTTAACCAACTGAGCCACCCAGGCGCCCCTACCCTTTTTTCTCTTTGATATAAAAGAAATACATGTTCCCCTTGGGAAACACAGAAAAGTACAAAGAAACAAACAGTCACCATAACTTATCACGTAGAGCCAACCACTGTAACTTTTGGCCAAGAAAGATTCTATGTTCAATAGACCCAGAATGGTTGTGGCCAACAATCTCATGAAAGCCAGAGTTCAAAAAGAAAGTCCCAGCACCGTAAGACAGAGTGGAGTAGATAGGAAGTTAGAGACCACACACCAGTACCCCTGACAAACAGGATGAGGAGGAAACAAAAACGTGGTCAATGACTTTTTTTTTTTAAACACACTGTTTGACTTGACAGAGGCAGAGCTCCCAGCAGAAACACAGACACCAGCTATGGGATGGGCAGATCCAGCTCTGTTGGCTCAGATAAGCTTCCAGCCTTGACTTGTGACCGACTCTGGACTGGCAGAGGGCGTCTGGAAAGGGAAAATGCCAGGGGACGAAGCATCATCATCAGACACCACCACCCCTGCCCCCACCCAAAGTCTCCCCTCGGGATTTCCACTCAAGCTGAACAGACACCCCTGGGACATTTTGACCCGGAAGTGTTTGTGCAAACGCCAACGTAGGAGTTGACTGTGGGGAGACAAAGCCCAGAAAGGAAACTTCAGCAAGAACTTCAAAAGCTGGTTCTATTTTAAGCTCAGAAGGAAGTTCTGTGGAAGGAAAGTGTCTCCCACGGTGGCACGAACAACTTTTCCAGGTAAAGGTGATGGAAACACTGGGATTGTGGAGAACTTCCCACCCAGCGGAACTTCTCAAACTTCAAAAGCCAGGAATGGTCAGAGAGGGGCATTCAGCACCTACTCTGTGTTCTGCAACAAGTTTAAGGCAGGGGGTTGGACTTTCGCGCAGGCGCCAGAGAGCAAGCATTTTAGGCTTTGCAGGCTGTCCCCGAGGCTCTGAGGCAGGGACTCAGCGGCCCAGCGGTCCTGCCGATCCGGCCGAGACAACGCATGCGCGACGCGAGGGGCAGCGTGCCGGGGAAACCTGACTTCCGGGCGTTCACGTCTGAATGTCATAGCACTATCGTGTGACACAAAATATTCTTCTTTCGATTTTTCTCCCCCCAATCATTTAAAAACATGAAACTCTTGTCAGTCTTGAAACACACGGCAGCCTGGATCTGGGCCAGGGGCTGGCCTTTGGTCCAAAAGCCCTTACGGCCCTAAGCTCACATTCTTTTCTTTTTTTTTTTTTTTAAGATTTATTTATTTATTTGAGAGCGAGAAGGAGAGAGAGAGTACGTGAGAGGGGGGAGGGTCAGAGGGAGAAGCAGACTCCCTGCCAAGCAGGGAGCCCGATGCGGGACTCGATCCCGGGACTCCAGGATCATGACCTGAGCCGGAGGCAGTCGCTTAACCGACTGAGCCACCCAGGCGCCCTCCCCAGTTTTTTTTAAAGATCTTATTTATTTATTTGAGACAGAGAGCACATGAGAGGGGGGAGGGTCAGAGGGAGAAGCAGGCTCCCCGCCGAGGAGGGAGCCCGATGCGGGACTCGATCCCGGGACTCCAGGATCATGACCTGAGCCGAAGGCAGTCGCTTAACCAACTGAGCCACCCAGGTGCCCCGCAGAGAGAGAGAGTCTTTTTTTTTTTTTTTTTTAAGATTTTATTTATTTGTGAGAGAGAGAATGAGAGACAGCGAGCATGAGAGGGAGGAGGGTCAGAGGGAGAAGCAGACTCCCTGCTGAGCAGGGAGCCCGATGCGGGACTCGATCCCGGGACTCCAGGATCACGACCTGAGCCGAAGGCAGTCGCTTAACCAACTGAGCCACCCAGGTGCCCCGCAGAGAGAGAGAGTCTTTTTTTTTTTTTTTTTTTTTAAGATTTTATTTATTTGTGAGAGAGAGAATGAGAGACAGCGAGCATGAGAGGGAGGAGGGTCAGAGGGAGAAGCAGACTCCCCGCCGAGCAGGGAGCCCGATGCGGGACTCGATCCCGGGACTCCAGGATCACGACCTGAGCCGAAGGCAGTCGCTCAACCGACTGAGCCACCCAGGCGCCCCCTAAGCTCACATTCTAACTAACCACAGAGATAAGAGCGAACTAGAGAATCGGAGGAGAGTGTCTGCTTAGAATGGGGGGAGTCCAGGTGCTGGAAGAACCTTCGGGGGCCAGCAAGTCAGTTGGGATTGGGGTGGGGCTGTGGGGCGGAAGGGGACGGGGGCACAGGGGCCTTCCCACAGGGGCCGGTACCCAGGCGGTGCCTCCATGGAGTGGGCTGTAGCATCGAGGGACAGAAGGGTGAGAAAACGCCCCCCTCCCCAATTATGCGCGCTCTACTTTCCCTTGAATCAGGCCAGTGAGAGGATTTGCAGCGGCAAAGTCAAATGTAACTCATAAGACTTTCTTTTGTTTTCCCCTTGCATACAGATGAGGGCCAGGTCCTCCGTGGGCACGAGGGAAAACTAACAACTCTCAGATCACCTGCGCTCGGGTAGCCGGTCTTTGTTTACCTGTGTGTGAGAGGCTCTTCTACAAATTCCAGCAGCCAGTTCAAAATAAGCCTGAGCTTGGCCTTGATGGATTTATTGCTCATTTGCTGCAGGCACAGACCGCTTGTACTGAAGGGGGAAAAATACCAGTCTCTCCTCAGCTGCTTGCCCCAGAGTCCCGGGCCTGCCTGGCAACGAGCCTCTTTGCTCCTTCTCCAGCTCCGGGCCTGACACCACCTTGCCATTGAATAGTCTCGGGAAGAGTTCAGCGCAGGGTTTGCACTTTCCCAGCCATTAGCCAGCTGCCAACGCATTTCATTATCGTAGGAGGGTTTTGTACATCAAAGTGAGCCCCAGACAGTGTGATCAAGTGGAAGAGTTCCTAGTCAACATTCTAACTTGCAGCATTTTGTTTTCATGGCTATAAATGCCATCTGGTACCCAGGAACAGCAAAGGCCAGGGATGGAAAAACCCTGCCTCCCTGTTTTGCTTATTGATGTAACAGTTAATCCTGATAAAGACCAAGGCCTCAGAACGACTGCCCTGTTGTTATCTTGCATATCTATTGTCTGACACAGGCCAAGCTGCCAGGGACCTGCAGAAGTGAGGTTGCACAGAAGATGGCCTGGGGTGGGGGTGGGGGGGTTGGATATCCAGGAGGGAGGAGAGAGAAGGGGAATGCGTTTATCTTTTTGTTTGTGTAATTGCTTAACAAATACACACACACACACACACACACACAAGGGCTGGGATTTAGAGGCTTCTCCTTTTCCAGCTTCAAGACTTTCTAGGGAAACATCAAAGAGCTGGCTTTGAAACCCCCTAACAGCTTAATATCTTCTCCTGCACCAACTTGCTTTCAATGATTTAGGAAAATCTCTCTGGCTTGGGTTTTAGATCATAAACCACCAACTCTCCCCCCAAATCAGAGACTGATTTCTGGTAACAGATCTCTCACTGAGTCCTTCATTGCTCTCTTACAATGACAGAGGAAAAAACTCTCTGAAATGATAGCTAAGAGAGGATCTTCACAAACTCATCTGTGGTACACTTCCCACTTTTCTGGGTAGTTGATTTTCAATTGACAAACTAGGAAAGCAAATACTGTGAGCATCTCATTGTTTTTACTTTGACATCCATCTCCAAAACATAGGACAAAACACAAAATGGACAATCTCCGTCTCTGCTGAAATGAGGGCAAATGATCGGGCTTATGGTAATTTTTTTTCCCACAGTCTCAGATGTAGTTGCCTCCATGCACTGCAACTGTTTACAAACTCTTCAGTGATTTTCCCACTCATTACACAAACTCCTCCCTCTTCCTATCTTCCTGCCAATCTCCCTCTCCACCCCCCTTCCCTCTCTGCAGGAGGGAGAGCCTGAAATTGTGAGCAGGACACTTCTCTGGTTTATGTTCATGTCAGGGGATGATTTTGCAATTGCCACATAAGCAATTATGTAAGCTTTTCAAAAGCATGGAAAATTTCTAGAGGAAATATGGGCTGTACACAGTTGCAAGGCTCTAGATGATTTTAAAAATAAGTAGATAGATGTTACCCAAAGACCAACGTATGGTTCAAAATCTTCTCAGAAAATCCAGCCTGATTTCTCTTCTTCCACTGTTTTTCTCCTCACTGTCGTAAGCTGTAGTAGAATTATAACACACGTAAGGGTCTGAGTTGCTATTTTAGGCTGGCATTGAAATCAAGGTCAGAGAAATGAAGACCCTAGCAGCCAGCACTACAAACGAAGTTCTCTGACCTCAAATATCCTCAATACTATGACTGTTTTACTCACTCCTTTTCTCCCCATATGAATCAGTGGAAAAGAGACAAAACGAACCAGAAGAGAGTATAATTGAAATTTTTGGCAAAGTGAGATAAAAGAGTACATGGTAGCCTGGTTTCCCAAAGCTGGTGGTCAGATGTCAAAACTTGAATTTTTCATTGATAATATAGGCTTCACACTTCACACTTTATAAAAATGCTATGAATCTCTTGTTATAGAAATAAAGGTTTGCTGGACGAAATTTTCAAAATCATCTTTTATAAGTGAAGAAACATTACATCAACAGTTCAAAGGAACTTAGTGGCAGGACTCAGAATCTAGGACTTCTAACTATTAATGGCTATTAATTAATGTATTGCTTTTACCATGGCATGCATGCATTCATTCATGAATTCAATAAGCATTGGTTGACTGCCTACCATGCACGATACAGTGGCAAATATTGAGAATACCTTTTATAAGAGTAAATAAGAAGAGATGTCTGATCTCGAGGAACTCAAAATAGTGGAGATAGGCATATAAACTAAGAATCTCAAGAAAGAGCGACAGATACTAAAATAGAGGAAGCAGTACAAAGGTGGCAAATAGAAAACAATAGATCGGTTAAATCAGAAAATACCATCACTGTTCTGGCTTTGCAGAATAGTGACTTGCTATTATGTTTAAGAAGTCAAATAGGGGTGCCTGGGTGGCTCGGTCATTAAGCATCTGACTTTGGCTCAGGTCATAATTTCAGGGTCCTGGGATCGATCCCCGCCTCGGCTCCCAGCTTAGCGGGGAGTCTGCTTCTCTCTCTGCCTCTCCCCCTACTGATGCTCTCTCTCTTTCTCTCAAGTAAGTAAATTTAAAAAAAAAAAAAAAAAAAAAAGTCAAGTCTTTGTTCTTAAATTACCCTAGAAAGAGAATCAATTACTTGTGGCATGTCTTAAATTCCACTTTAGGTAAAACGTAATCTGTTTTATGCTTCCTCTGATTATTCTGGATTTGTTCGTGTATAAAGAAGCGGGGCACTGTGGTTTTCGCATCCAGATTGTTCTTAAAGTGACGTTCACTGTAGGATTTGGCCGACATGCTAAGTAGCCGAAATTTGGAAGGGAGTGGGCAAAAAAAAGACTAGTTCCGATGTGAAAATTACACATAATTTCTTTCCTCTCATTTTGTGAAAATCTTAGACCCACAGTTGTCAGGGATTGAAAAGAACTTTAAGCAGATCCGTGCTGCTGCAAGGGTTTTTGTTTTTGTTTACTTTTCAAAATTTTCGAATCTCAATCCAGGCTTTAAATTTTTAAATTGATAATTCCATCGTAATTGCCCTGTGGAATTAATTCCAGTCTTAAGGGGCTGTCCATTGACATCTTCCTGATGGTTCTTTGAGAGTCTCAACTGCTTATCCTATCTTTCCCACAACCAGGTAAATATTCCTAGGTGCAAAGTTAGTGACTCTCTTGAGTTGGTACTGATCTTGTGCAAATGTAATGAGTGGGAGGGAATGATATTCTATTTTGAGGCTTACAGTTGAGTCTGACAGGCAGAAACAGAAGACAAACTCTCAGCCTTCTTGAAACCCAGCATATCCTCCAGAATCTCTAATTCAGCACCCACCAGTCTCAACCTCCACAAAATCAGCAAGATGGAATAATATTTTTACATGATAGAATTGTCTTTATTTTTTTCTCTCTAAATAGAGTTTTAAAAACAAAAACAGAACTCAAACTGCAATTCATTAGGAATAACAATTTCCTAAAGATCTTCCCCTTTCCTGTTTCTCTCTCTCTCTCCTCTTGTCCCTCCCTCCAGCCTATAGCATAAAACTAGAGAAAAGATGAACATGTAAGGAAAATAAGAGGCAGAAGAAGCCCAGCGTACACATACGCAGCACAGCCTGTCATTATCATTGGCCTAGTGTTTTTCCTCATTTACAATATGTTTTCTGATATTCATAATAATAGCTTTGCCTCAGAGAGGTGCTATGAGGATTATACATTCAATACACTAATGAATTAAGAGATTGCATGGTAGTTCCTGGCACATAAAACGCTTTCTATAAGTGTAAGACGGTACCGCTCTGAGTACGCATGCTATTGCCTTTACCACTGTGATTATTGTCATAGCTTGCATAACCATTACTAAACAATTCAGCAAGTATAAGTTCACATTTAGGCTCTGTAGCTCCGGGGTTAGAGCACTGGTCTCGTATAAGTTCACATTTAGTTGGTCATAATATAGATAACTTAGTTTAGGAAAGAATGATTTTATTTTATTAACTCCTAAATTCCTATCAATACTTATTTGGCCATTTAGGGAACACTCATACTGGAATTTCTTTTATAAACTAGAAAGCACAACTATACCTTAAGTATGACTTTATTTGAAGGCTTGCTATAAAAGATTTGCCTCTGAAATAATTCGGAAGCCTTCTAAATTTCATAGAAAAGCAGTTACAACCCAACTCTGGTCTACTTCTCCAGCCTTCGCAAATGCTGTTCCTTTCTGTTCATCTGTCATACCTGGGACAGTGGGCAATGAGCCATTATTCCCCAAGTATGCCTTGTACTTTCATGCCATCCTGCCTCTGTATGCCTGCTATTCTCTGTGCCTAGAATAGCCTCTCCTGCCTCTCCCTCCAGGTCTATTACGAAGCCTTCCTCTTCTTCCTCAGCCAGAAAATATCCTCCTTCTCTGCTTCCAAAGCACATTCTTCATCCTACGTGCTGAGATACACCCTTCTTCCTATTAGTCATATCCCACTGCGTGCAAATCCTTTATTCACATGTTTGTGAGCTCCTTCAAGGGTACAGCCCTGTCTTACTGGAGAATATTCCCAGTTTCAGCCAGAGGACCTGAACAAAGAAGGACTCAATTCTTCGTTTTTTGCCAATTTCAGGCAGGAAAGACCAGACCCATGACACAGTAATAAGTTCCTGGTTCAGAGTTGAGGACAGAGCAAGACCAGAAAAAAAGACTAGACTTATTATCCTTAGGCTTACCTCATCAGCATTTAATTGAGATACCAAAACAATATCTGAAACAAAAGTCATAATTATAATCTTAAAAATAATATCTATTTGTTGAGTACTTACTATGCTCCAGTCACTGTTCTCATATTTCATGTGCATTACTCATTTAATTCTCACAAGTCTATTAGTTATGTGCTATTATTTTCATTTTATATTTAAAAAGAGAGAGAGATTAAGAGTCTCTGCCCATGGTCATACAATGGAGAAGTGGATGCAGAATGTGAAGACAGAATTCAACACAGGCAAATTCTACAAAGCCGGAGTTCATAACCACCACCACCATGCTATCTGTGGTGGATGAAGGAGACTTTAAAATTTATAGTAGATAATAGACTTATTCCAATAAACTAAAGGCTGTTAAAGGGGTTGATAGTGACAAGTTTTAAATTTTTATTTTTCAGTACCACTAACTACAGATATAACAGCTTCTCATTGATTAAAGCCATGACCAATTCTATGACATATAAAATCCACTGAATGTACTATGCAGGTTTTTCCCCTAATCTGGGCTGATCTTTCCAATCCTATGTTCTCTCCCCTTGTTTCTAGCACACATGCTCCACATTCACCAGCCCTTTCACACCACCCTTCCTGTTGCCTTCGGTAGAAAGGAAAGCTACTTTGAAAACATTGCTTACAGTGTTTGCCTGGTCTCTCTCTCTCTCCACCTCCTCTGACAACTTTTTCTTCTCCACTTTTCATAGGCCTATTCTTAATAATATAGTGATAATAGTTTTCTCTTGGTTATTTTTTTCTACGATATAACTTTTCCATCCTTGCAGCTTCAACCTCTTCTGTATATTTTAGGTGTTTCTCATAAATAACATATAGTTGTTTCTTGCTTTAAAAAAAAAAAAAATCCAGTCTGAGGATATTGGTCTTTTAATCGCAATATTTAGTTAATTTATATTTAATGTAATTATTGATATGATTGGGTTTAGTTCTACCATTTTGCCATCTGCTTTTTATCTGCACTAATTGCTCTGTATTCTTTTTCTTTCCTTTCTTTTGGTTGATTGTTTTTTATAATTCTATTTCCTCCTATTAACTTGGTAGCTATGCATTCTCTTACTATGATTTGTTACACTAGAGATTACAACACGTATAGAAGACTTATTGTAGTCTAAGTTAAATGAGGATATTTACCTCTTCCCAGGCAATGCAAGAAACTTAGAACCCTTTAAATGTTTTTATACTAACATGTTATTAGTAATACATTTAGCCCTACAAGATATTATTATTACAGTTTTATATTAACATTAAATATTTATCATTTCTGAGGCTCTTAAATCTGTCCTATATCTTTAAGTTTTCATCTGGAATAATTTTCTTGTCCCAGAATAGTACACGTTAGTATTTTCTTTTGTATGGATCCATGGGTGCAAGATTTCCCTTGGTGTTTATTGGAGAATGTGTTATTTATCCAGCATGGGTTCATAGATTTTTTTTTTTTAAGAAAATTATCATCCATTGTCTCTTCAAACATTGTGTCTCCCTTAATATCTTTCTCTTTTCCTTTTGTGGACTCTGTTAACAGATAGGTTAGAACTTTTCACTAGTCCCCGTATGTCTCTTACATTGTCCTCTGTGTCGCTGTGTGTGTGTGTGTTTTAATCTTTTCATATTTATGTGATTTATTCTGTATATTTTTCATATTTATCTTCCAGTTCATTAATTTCTTCTTCAATGTGTCTAGCCTCATGTGAAACCTGTCGAGTTGGGTTACTGATTCATTAGATATTTCTTTCTGTTCTAGAATTTCTGTTTTGTATCTTTTCATAGTTTACTATTATCTATTAACATTATAAATCTCATGTTTTATTATCTTTCATATATTAATCATACTTATTTTAAAAATCCATGTATGAAAACTCCATTTTCAAGATTCCTGATGGGTTTCTTATACTGTCTGTTGCTTCTTTTGATTTTCCACTACACTATCTTGATTCCTTATGTGTCTGTTTTTTCTTGATCAAGTGTCAGATATTGCGTATGAAAAATGGCATAGATAATTTGAGACTAAGATGTAACCTCTCTTCAGAGAGGGTTTTGTTTGCTTGACAAGTGGCTAGGAATACTAGGAACCCTAAATTATCTTAATTCAATCACAAAATGATATGATTAGAAGCTGGGCTTCTGTCCCTTCTGGTGAACATCTATTTCAGGCCCACTCTTATTCATGGATTGTAGCCCTTTAGTTTGGAGTCCCAGCCTAAAACTTGTGAACTTACCAATACTTCCTTCCTTGGCAGCATTGGCCTCCTCCCCCTTCCCTAAATCCAGCAAGTCTTTCAAAGGCTCAGCTCACCTTCTCTGTCTCCCTTCTGACTTCCAAAATTGGCAGATGCCTCTAGGGAAAAAGCAGCACCAAATGCAAAGCTTAACTTCTCTGGGTTTTTCCTAGACTTGATAGCTCTCTGTTGACTTAGATATTTTGTTTTCCTCTTAAAATTTTGTTCAGAATTTGTAGTTTCCTTAGCAGGAGGGAAAGAACTGTTTGCTAATATGTTTGTTTTCACATATAAGAAGTTTTAAATATTTACATAGTCATATTTCTTGATTGCTTTTCCCGTCATTCTTAAAAAGTTCTATTCTACTTTAAGTTATAGCTAAATTCTACCTGGTATTGACTTTAGTATGAGCTGTGAGATAAGGATTTGGCTCACTTTTTCCCCAAATCACTTATTTGGTATATTGAATAATTCATGTCCTCTCTTGAATTTTATACACATAAACACACACACATTCCACTAATGTGCTAAACCAACTTTATATTACTTTGGGTTTTTCTGGGATTTTCTATTCTGTTCTATTGTTATTTATTTTTGCACCAGTACTTCATTGTTTTTAATTGCTGTAGCTTTATATTATGTCTCCATTTCTGCTGAGAAAAGGCTTCCTCCTTCCACATAGGCCCATTACACCTTTAGCTTGTTTTTTGTTTGTTTGTTTGTTTTATTTTTTTTGACTAGCCTAGCATGCATAATTTTATCAGATAGATTTTAAAATATTTTTTCTAAATTACCAAACCTCCCTTCCCAAATACACACCCAAGGAGAGAAACCCCATTGTGATTTTCATTAGGATTGCAATAATTTCAGAGAGTATTTTTAAACAAATTGATATCTTTATAATATTGAGGTTTCCCAGCTAAGAACATCTTAAATCTCTCAGTTAAAGTTCATGTTTTCATATAAATACTATATGTTTCTTAATCAACTTGTTCTAATATATTTTATACTTTTTATAAATGAATTATTTTTTTCAGTTATATTTTCTAATCAGTTATTGTAATAGGAAAACTAGTGATTTTCCCCATTATTAATATTAATATTGTAACAAGAACCTTACTTATTATTTTTAATTATTTCTGGTGTGCTTTCTCATTTGATTCATTTGGTTTTTGAAGATAGAGAATTATATTATTATCTAGTAGTGAGAATTGTGCTAACTAACTTCTTCACAATACTTATATTCCTTACTCTGTTCTCTTGAATAATGACACATCCATTGGCTGGAATGAATCTCAAACTTCAGTTTTAGGCTTGACCCTTAATTTACCCAAACTGACCATTTATCATAATACCAATCTTTTCACCAAAGCAATTGGTTCAAAGATGAGTAACACTGGTCCAGAGTCAATGGGGAATTGCACAGCACCAGTCACATGATTTTTTTTAGGGCGGGGGTGGGTTGGCATGTAATTCAAGAGTTTTCAAGGTTTTCAGAAGAGGAGCTCTCTCTTTTTCTGGACTGTGAGGTAGAAACACATGGGAGGCCTGGGACCTCTGTGCCCATATTGCTCCCATGAGAGAAGCGGTCCAACACACAAAGGAACACAGAGTTGAAAGACCTGAGAGAAATCAAGCAGCAACACTAAAACAAGCCATGCTTGAAACGAAACCTATCCTGCAACTTTAGAAGAGCATTTTTTTTTTAAGCCAGTGAGCATTATTTGCAACTCAAATTATCCTAATGGATACACCAGCTCAAAGCTGTATTCAAGAAACACACCTAAAACAGAACGACAAAGAAAGTTTGAAAGTAAGGCATGTGGAAAATTACACCAGACAAATGTATGCAAACAGAAAGCAGGAATGGCAGACTCAGAATTAGTTAGGAAAAATTCAAGATTCAGACCATTAAGCAGGGAAAAGTGGCATATTATGACATCTATAAGTACAGCTAATGAACTCCTGTACATCACAAACTACAACAGCAAAACACATAAAACAAAACTCTGACAAGGAGGTATAACCATCAAAAAAAATCACAGTCATAGTGGGGAATTTTGCATTACTTGATGGATCAAGCAGACACAAACAAGCAAGGATATAGAGAATGTAAATAGTACAAAAAAGACAATGTAAAAAAAAAATTAACATTCTTCCTCTCTTCTTTACTCTGTAGAGTAAGAATTGGAATATCTTTACCAAAGAAGAAATTGGAATATCATGAATGACCTACTAATAGAAAGGGTCTAGGCTGAGTTAGTTTTACTGCAGATTTAACCTTCAAAATAACAAATAAAAATTTAGATAGTATTCCTCTCTATTTCAATTCTCACTATACAACTTAGGAGCTGAATATTATTCAGAAAATTTCAACAGATCCTTTGGTTTCTGAACTCTTGCCACTCACCATCCAAACCTCAGAGACCAAATATGATCAGTTTTTGTGGTATCTCTTCTGAACTTTTGCTTTCTGAACTCAGGTACCAAATAAATTTGAATGTTGAAGGAATATTTGCAATTCCTATTTTATTTATCTTATTCAAAATATTCTGGACTCCCAAAAATGATTTAAAATTACCAAGATGGTCTACTAAGCTAACATAAGACTACCCAAGTTAATAATTTTAAAAAGAAAAAAAATTTCTTATAAAAGCAAATGTTCTCAAAATATTAGTATGTTGAATACATCCAGTCACAAAAGAATAATATAGCATGATCATGTAGATATATTTTAGAAAATTATAATTATTATGGTGACAATTTATTTATTTATTTTAAAGATTTTATTTATTTGACAGAGAGAGACACAGTGAGAGAGGGAACACAAGTAAGGGGAGTGGGAGAGGGATAGAGATAAGCAGGCTTCCCGCCGAGCAGTGAGCCCGATGCAGGGCTCGATCCCAGGACCCTGGGATCATGACCCGAGCTGAAGGCAGACGCTTAACGACTGAGCCACCCAGGCACCCCTTATGGTAACAATTTAAAAGAAAAATACAATATCTATAGATGCAGAAATATATTTATATAAATATCACAAAAAATTCCTAATAAAAACTCTGAATAAAATAAGAACACATTATCATCTTTCATTTATCTAAATATATTCATTCATATTTTTGTCTTATATTTCTCTTAAGAAATATAACTAAATATATTAAGGAACTTTTAATAAAAAAACAAATATTTTATAAATGGTGAAAATTTTAAAGTCATTGCCATTAAAATCAGAATCAGATCCGGAATTCCTTTCATCATTATAAGTTTTCCCCAAAATTATTTTGGGTGATTTAAATAATGCAATAAGGCAAGAAAACAATCGTGTGTATAAAGATAAATTATGTTTATTTGTAAATTTTATATTTTATGTTTAAAAATCCCAAGACATATAACTAAAAATTATTAAGACTAATAGGCAAACTTGGGGCACCTGGGTGGCTCAGTTGGTTGAACATCTGACTCTTGGTTTCGGCTCAGGTCATGATCTCAGGGTTATGAGATGGAGCCCCACAGCAGGCTCTGCAGCGGGGAGTCTGCTGGAGATTCTCTGCCTCTCCCTCTGCCCCTCCCCCTGCTCGTGCTCTCTTTCTCTCTCAAATAAATAAATATCTTTTTAAAAAAAAAGACTAATGGGAAAACTTGGCAAAGCATTTATATTATATTACGGAGTTAGACATACATAATTATCACATATACAGTAGAGATATAGAGTATAAACATATCTAGAAATATATTTAACAAGAAAATAACATGAGAAGAATATGTAAAGAAGCAAGATATGAATGAATGTAAAAATAAAATTGTCCTAGATGGAAAGATTTAATATCACCAAAATGTTAATCCTTCCAAATCAGAACATAAATTTAATACAACAAAGATAAGAACTTCAAAGGTTTCCTTTAAACCTTGTTGTATACATTAAATACTTCATGATATAAAATTTTAGGATATAATAGAAGAAAAATATCCAAATAAAGGAATTCCTGAGTATAAAGTTTTTAAATGCCCAATAAGCTCCTGAAATAATTTAATAGAATTCAGACTTCCATTTATAAGGTATGAGAAGGCCTGTCCTCACCAGCACAAAACCAAGAACTGCAAGTAATAATGCAATGAAAACCCATCCTCTCACTACCTTACCTTAAAAAAATCAAACATAACCAACACAGGTGAAACTCACTGAATACATTCTAAATTCCATGCCTCCAGTCCTTGAAGTAGCCCCTCTCCTGAGTTAGGAGTTTACCATTCTCACCCATTGCTTTATATTCTCACAGCGTGTTACATAGAAATGTTGAAATGTTTTTAAGCTTTACATAAATAATAAAAATCTGCATGCATTCCTCTGCCATTTGTTCATTTTATTTTAGAAAATAGTATGTTTACAAGATGTTGATGCATCATTTAGTGCCAGCTCATTCTAGTTTTTCATCTTCCAGTACACACATCATTCCTGTGTTGGGTCTCCACATCTGTGAGTTCCTAGTTAATTTCTTTGATTGCTTTTGTATTTTTCCACTGTCTTCTGTGTGGTTTTTCTCATGCCTACCCTCCACATCTCTCATCATTTTTCAATGTTGATTCTGTTCTTTTTGATTCTCAAGCAGTTTTCATTTCGAAACTGATCATATTTTCCCCTTGAACTTCTTTCTTAAGTATGCCAGTTCTCCTTTCCACTCACTATGATTTTCAGTCCTTTGAGAGGATGAAGGAAATTGAGTCTATTGTTTTTATTTCCTGAAGTAATTATTCTAATGCGCATAATGCAGCTTTCTTTTACATGTCACATTTCTTTTTTTTTTTTTAATGATTTGTAAGGAAATCCCATTTTTCCTGCTTCTTATTCAACTTTATGGAGCACAACTTCATCTGGTCCTGATATTTGCCCAATAGAATTGGTAGATTACCATCACATCTGTTCAATGTTTACCTGGTCCCCTTGAGTGGCCCCTTAGGACTTGGGTTAGAAATCTGGACATTTGAAAGATTGTAATATTTTTGTAGTCATTCAGAAAACTGAGGCGGAAACAGAAGGTAGACAGAGGTGGTGAGTAGCTAAAGCCCACGTATGGATACGTTTATAGGCACTCTCCCGACAAATGTCTTGATTCTCACCCAAGCCAATCCCGTTAAGACAAACACTTCTTAAATTCCTGTCACTCTTGCCCTTCATGGTGAAAAATTAACTCCATAGGAAACCAGGTCAGTGTGAGAGCCCTTGGCTCAAAGGCCTTTTATTAATGGTTACTGCTTACTATCTCTGTTTAGTCAACTTTTCTCAGTAGATTTTTGACTTTCAGGTACTGTCTCCCCCTTCCCCTGATTGTCTTCTAGGTTTCCTCTTTCTAAAAACAGGGTAAAGAATACTGTCCCTGGTTACCAGGTCTTTCTTCCCCTCCAGCTCCCTTATTCCTCTGTGGGGTGGAAGTACGCTCAGAGTAGGGACCCATCCTCAGCCCCCTGAGAATTGTTAGGTAGGCCTTTAAAGCCCCAAAATTTATTTCCCGATAACTGTACCCACTGAAATGAAACTGGATCTATGTTAACGCTGTCTTTGCTGGAACTGTCCTTGTTTAGCAGACAGATGTTCAGAGTCTGGTACGAGGCTGGGGCTGGTCCCTAGCTGATGGAGCATTGATACAAACCTGGGGTTTTCATGGGGAACAAGGAGATTGTGTACTCTGGTGTTATGTGAATCACTCGGGGATCTTGCTAAAACTACAGGGGCAGGGCTGAGAATCTGCATTCCTAATTAGCTCCCAGATGATGCCCAGCTTGCTGACTGCAAACCACACTTTGATTAGAAAGGCTGTGTTTTAGTCAGGGTACTCCAGAGAAACAGAACCAACAGGATATTTATCTATAAGTGTATTATGAGGAATTGGCTCATGCAGTTATGGAGGCTGAGAGGTCCCATCATCTGCAGTCTGTGAGCTAGAGATCCAGGAAAGCCTATGGTGTAGTCCAAGGCCCAAGAGCCAGGGAGCCCATGGTGTAGATTCCTGTCTGAGCCTGAGGGCCTGGGAACCAGGAGCACAGAGGGCAGGAGAAGATTGATGTCTGGGCTCATGCAGTCAAGCAGAGGGAGAATTCAACCTTCCTCAGCCTTTCTGTTCCATTCAGGCCCTCACCGGACTGGATGATGCCCACACACACTGAAGAAGGCCATCTGCTTTATTCAGTCTACCAATTCAAATGCTAATCTCTTCCAGAATCACTCTTATGGATGCACCAAGAAATGTTTAACCAGCTATTTGGGCACTCCGTGGCCCAGTCAAGTGGATACATGAAATGAACCATCACAGGCTGTAATCATGCGGCCTGTGAAGCAAGAAGGTGCTAACTGGCTGGCCAAAATATTAAAAATAGTGAATATTTATTAAAATATTGACTACATTCTAGCCACTGCACTAAATGCTCTCCATGGAGTACCTCATCTAACTCTCATGACGCTCTGAGGTAGGGACTGTATTATTTCCATTTTCTAGGTGAGGGAATTGAGGCCCAGACTCGATAATTTATTTGAGATTAAACATCTAGCCAGGGGCAGCACTGAGCAATCTGACCTCAGAGTCTCAACTTGGAACACCATCTCTCCCAGTGCAAACCTGAGGCTGTTATTCCGCTAGTCCACAGAAAGCAAGGGTCCCCCCATGATTAATATCACTAGGTTTTTGCTTAGTGAAATGGGAGGGATGTTGGGGAAGATGGCCTGGGAGTTTCCTCTGAAATGTAAGACAGCATGTATTCTTCCTTCCAGGTAGAAAAGGAGATAGAGCTCTACTGAGGGAAGGAAAATGAGAGCATGGAGAGAGGAAACAAAAGAGAACTCAGTGAGAAAAGAAAACACATCCTCACACTTCAACTTAGAGAAGAGAGACCTCCCACCTAGCAGAATCTTGAAATAAAAATTCCATAGAAAGCCCCAGAAAAGTTGTATCCTTATAAGTCGAAAGGATAAGGGGAACTTGCGCTTCCCTCTTATTTCCACGAGCAGAGTTCTGCTACTTCAAGATTCCGAATCTTGTGATGCTTCCCAACCACCCCCCAAACATCACCAGAGTTCAGATTTCTTCCTCTCCATTCCAGAGGCCTTTGTGCAGAACTCAGAGAGAGAAACATATCCTCATTCGTTTATCTGCATTTCTCCCATCCTAGACTGTCATTATTTATTTATTTATTTATTTATTTATTTATTTATTTATTTATTTATATTTCTTAGGACAAGGCCTTAGCTTCAACACACACCTTGAACTCTAGGTACATTGGAATGCTCTATTCACTGAATTTACGCTCTACAGTCTTGAGTGACATCATTCCCTTTCCATTTCTGGCATCCCTCAACCCATCCCAGGTTCATTAAAACACCACTGTTCTTATGAATCTTCCCCTAAATTCAACATTTTACTCTGCGTCTTTATAATGACACAAGATGCTCTGTCTTACTGTTAGATTTTAGCAGTCCCTTTTCTTATTAGATTGTAAACTCCGGGTGGTTATGACTATGTCTTCATGACCTTTGTCTTCTCATTAGAGCTGAGCTGAATCCTGCACATTGGTTGATGCTCATAAAATCAGATACTAAATGCATAAGAAGAAAGAAACAGAAGAGGTTTAGACACAATGAATGTGCCTGGGTTGGCTAAAACTGACCCCAAACCAGCTTAAAACAAAGTTTTACAAACCTTAAAGCCTCCTTTCAAGAAATATTACAGATCCTTTCAAATATAAGATCTCTCCAGATCCTAACTTCTTTTACTGAACATACCACTCAAGAACGAGCCATGCTTTTCCTTGTTCTTCAGGAAGTTCGCATGCACCAGGGGCTAAATTTACGTTTGAGCTCAAATCAAAATAAAAACAATAACTGAATGAATGAAAACAATTTTTTTTAAACAACAACAAAAAAAATTAGAAATTCAGAAAGGGATTTAAAAAAAACAAAAATGGGTTAAATCCTATTTTGTTTGAGGGCAAGATCCGACTTCATGCCTGGTGACGGAATAAATTTATTCTCAAGCGGCTTCCATGGGCCATGAGTGCCCCACAGAAGGCCAGGAATAAGGGGGACTTGTACTCCTCTGTTACAGGATGAGGCAAGACCTTTAGTGATTTCCTTCTTTTCCCCTAACTCCTCAATCGCGAATGCTTTCAGTTTATACAAATTCTCTATTTCTGCCTTGAGACATCATGATGGGGGGGAGGGGCTGTGTGTGTCATGCCCAGAAAGAGAACCCAGAAAACCAAGGCAATTAAAGAGGAAAAAATGTGGATTCTGTAAAAAAATTCATAGCAATGGTGCACAAGACATTTATTTATTTGGCCTCTAAAATAACTGTCAGTAAGAAATGACTTGTAGCTGAGTTTACGAAGTAAACATAAAATGTTATTAAAATTTTAGGTTCTCAGCGCTCTCTGTTTGTCTCCTTCTCCCTTAGAATGATTTATTTCGCTCATTTTTTTTTTTTTTAATGAACACAACACAGAAATTCAGATCTTTAGACTAGGTTCCAAGAATCCAGAAAGTTAACAGCAAAACAAAACACAACAACAAAAAGTCCTTCCAGCAATTTAAAATATTTCATGGAGTACCTACTCAAAACATAGTCTCCATTCAGCCAGAGTTTGGGAAACTGGCACAGGCAGGTAAAATGAATCCACCGCTTGCTGCTAGCTTTTTTTTTTTTTTTTAACTAAACATCAAGATTTCTTACAATAGAGGGATGTTTTATGATTGTCTTATCACAATGGGAGAAAAGTTTTTATTTTTTTCTTTCAATCAAACTCTCCCAGCCTAGACCCATTTCTTCCTCCTCACACTCAACATCCTGAGTTTATGTGTTGGAAAAATAATTTTACCTGCTGTAGACGACAGGCCTTAGAAGGGGGAAAACAGCAAAGAAAAGACCACCATATTCCCCGCAAATCATCCCACACTGACAACAAAGGTTTTATGTCAAATGTGCTCATTTTCCATCTCCCGCACTAAGTTGTCCCTGTTGAGAAGTCCTTAGCACCCGGCCCCTGAGCAAATGTCCTGAGAGCTTTCCTGAATTGCTGATTCACGTTGAGCATCTTTTGGCCATTAATCACCACTTGTGGAGAAAGGCAGCTTCACCAGGAACAGCTCTCTGGTTCCCCCGTGATCGGAGGAGAAGTATATTCTAGTGCTAGAGAGAGAAAGATAAATGCTATTTTCCCTCAAATGAAAGAATGGAGTCAGAAGGCATTGAGAAGTCATCTGAAAAGAAAATCGGAAGCAAATTCAACACTCAAGATAGATCTAAACAACAGATATGAAGTAAGCCAGTGTGTAAACTCCTGGCTCTTATGCACTTCCTAACACAAAAGTTTCGTAGCTATTCCTGGAGCCAGACATACACACATGCTCTCATTCGAGACCACAGGAGGTAGTGACAACGGCCGGCACTTAACAGGCTGGTCATTCCTGGGCCAGGCCCTACATTAACCCCCACACAGCTATTATCTCTCCCATTCAGGATCCCAAACAGCCTCTGCGGTGGATAACCTTATCCCAAACACTCAGGGCCACGCGCACTTCTGCAATTCGGCATTTCTCAGATTGGAGAGAGTCAAAGCGGCGTGTGCACAGCGCAGTCCAAAGCACCCCAGTGGGGGGGGGGGGGGGACACAAAACCGTGTTCATAATCCTGCAGCAAAATGTGTGGACAGGTACAGAAGGAGGAGGAAGCCTACTTCTTCCTGCCAGAAGGGTTTTTGCCAAACCTAGATTGAAAAAAACAAAACAAAACAACAAAAAACCCACCAAAAACCCATTTTCAGAGGTTGAATGTTGGAGTTGAAGATTGGACGTATCATCACCTCATCTTACAGGCAAAGAAAATGGAACTGGGAGAGGATAAAGTGCATCGCCTCTTGGCACGGGCGGCGGTGTTTGGGCCAGATTCCAGCAGGAAATCTCAGACTCCAGGCCTGTGTCTAAACCCTGCTCTCCTGCCCCTCAGGCTTTCTTTGGGTGTCTAAGTGAACACAGATGCCTCTGCAGTCTTTCTGCTTGTCCTGAAGACTTCATCTGTCCTCTCTGTTCCTCATTGCTTGCCTTTCTCTGCAACCTCACCTGGAGAATGACTGTAGAGAGAAGAAAAAAAGGAAAACACTGTTTTTCCTTCAGTGAGAGCAGAAAGAGGCAGCTCCAGCCTTGGTCCCCTTATTCCTTTAGGAGTTGGAGTCTTGCTCCCGAGAAGGAGCTGGGGGGTGGAGGAGGGGAAAGGAGGGGCAGGGAGGGAGAGGGAGGAGAGGGGACAGTGGGAGGACAGGGAAGGGGAAGGGAGAAAGCACCTGGAGCCTGGGATCAGAAATGACTGAAGCAGGGGCGCCTGGGTGGCTCAGATGGTTAAGCATCTGCCTTCAGCTCAGGTCATGATCCCAGGGTCCTGGGATCGAGCCCCACATCGGGCTCCTGGCTCAGCAGGGAGTCTGCTTCTCACTCTCCCTCTGCCTCTCCCACTGCTCATGCTCTCTCTCTCTGTATCTCTGTGTCTCAAGTGAATAAATAAAATCTTAAAAAAAAAAATGACTCAAGCATTAAAAACATCCTAATAATTCGAGACGTCTCTGTTGCTGAAAGGCCAGTGTCCTTCATCTTCACACACCTTTGGTAAAGTCGGCCACATAAACGGATGCCTTCAACCAGCGGATGTTTGCCCACGTGAAGTGAGGCTGAGCTACACATCTGGGTAGCATAAAAAGAACAGCCCATTCAGCTGGTAAAAAGGTCTCTAAACTGACCTAATCCAGCAGAGGCAGGGGTTCAAGGGCGGAGTTCAGAGGAGAGGGTGTGCTCCCCAGTAATGTGCAAAAACTTGAGAATGACACTGGACAGAAGAATGGGGGTTTGAACAACGTAGCTCTCGAGAATAGGGTGACCCCCGCTGCAGTCTGCAGCCGGGTGACATTAGGAACTGCAGGTTGTGGATAGTTGACTGCTTACAAGCAGACCTCCAGCGTCTTCCGTGTGCCTCTCCTACGCTCCTACAGTCTAATATGGTTTCTCCCAGGGGAGAAAGGAGTGTACCTGGATGACACAGAACCCTCCAGTGCCCGTGGGAGTGTGTGGTTTAGGAATGTTTCTCGTGGTGCCTATCAAAGCAGGAAAAGGGTTGAGACCCATTGTTTTTGCATTCTTGATTTGAAATCCTAAGGGCTAAACTTGAGCTTGGTGGCCAAACTCTGGCCAGAAAATAATCAAGCCCACACAAATCAGAGTCTCACATGGGCACAGCCTCTATGATCCAGCCTTCAAACGTGGGCAGCTGCACCCTATGGCCAGGGCATCCTCACTACTCTCCGGGGCGCTAAATTCAAAATGGGCATTTCATCTAGGTCCAAATTTAAAAGTGGGATTTTAACATCACCCTTTATTTCTGTAACGGGAGGCTCGATTTGCTACTTTGTCCCTTTTTAATGTTGGGGTTTGGATTCTCCACCACCAACGTGTGGCTAGGACCCTGCAGTTTGCCACTGTGTACGTAGCTGTTTCCAACAGGAATAGATAACCTCACTTCTGATCAAAGAGAGTCTCTGGCACAACAGGCAAGCCCTAACTGTGGCTGATCGGAAAAGCTGATGAAAAACCTACCCTCCGGTTCATCAGTTTTGCCAGGGGAGCTCCCCTAAACCAAAAAGGATAAGGTCTTAAATATTAGTTACACAGGGGCATCCTTTTTCGGTGTGATGACAGTGGAAAAGGAAATTTTTTTTTTTCTTTCTCTGTAACGTTCTTTTATTAAAATCAGTGGCCAGGCATCAAAAGAAACCATATTTTTAAAAAAATTTTTTTAAGCTCATCAGTGTATTTCTTTCCCTGCACTAATTTAAGAAGGGCATACATAGGCATACACATGACACTCACATGTATATGGAGATTTTCCTTTCTTACCATTTCTTAAATCTTACTCTCTCTTCTTTTCAGTGCTAACTCTACCCATTCTAATCTCCCAGGAAACACATATGTAGCACACCCACCCACCCACACAGGAACACAAGTCTGTGTTTTGTTCCCCTGAAATCAATTTCTAGTGAAATGAAAGTTTTCACAGAAAAAAAAAATGCTATATTAAGCCAGAGTTGTACCCAAGATACTGAAATATATTTTTACTCTAATAATACCCTAAAACCTTTTAACTATGAAAAAGTCAACTGATAACTAAATTTCATTTAGCTTTATCAGAACTTTATTGCCTAATGTAGTGTTACACCAAATGACTAAGTTTAAAAATAAGTTTGTCCAACCACACATTTAACTGTTTTTATTTTATTCTACACAGTAGAGTGTTTTCCTAAGTTGACAAGTTCAGCATTGAGTAGAAGGAAGGAAGAAAAACAAAGGGACACTCATTAAGAAATGAAGGCAGGACTTTCCTCATGAAAACAGAAGGGCAAAAACACACCTTTCAGAGCCAGAGATTCATAGCCAGCATTTTGATAAAAGAATGAACTTTAATCCACACAGATGAATCTGAGAAATCTTCTGGGAGAGATGCCATAGATTATTGCCATAAATATTATTAGCAGACTCACAAGGCTATAATCACTGTCTGTATCCATGATACCAAGTTTCAAATTAACATGGTTATTTTATTTGTGTTCCCAAATAGGCAAATATATATATATATATATATGATTCTAGGATTATTAGTGTAGGATGGTCAGCATTTACAGGAACAAATCTGAGGGTTTAAGAGTCTACTTATTTGACCCCACAAAAAGTCCCATGGTGCCTTTGGTAAATGTTGGCTTTGGATAACATTTCTAGTTCTGCATGAAATGCTCCGTAATATCACTATTGCTTTTCAAAGTGTATTTTCCCTTTTTTCTTCATTCGCTTACCCTTTCCCCATAGTCTCGCCCTGCCAATTTTAGTCAAATGGCCTGAATGATCTGGCTGAATTTGGGAGCTTTGAGAGGGAGTCTTTCTTAAACCCAGAAACTGAGATTTCTGCTTCCTTTTTAGTTTTGCTTGGACTCTCAGATAATGGAGAACCATATCTGAGTGATCCTGAACTCAACCTTGAAATGCTAAAGTCCTTATCCAAGTTTAATCTAAGCCCAAGGAAGGCGACTAAAACTGGGCAGGTACAGCTAGTTTCAAACTGTTTGGAAGGAGACAGTCTTACTCCTTGGGCTGGGAGCTTGGATAGAGTAGAATTCTTGGGAAATATATTTGAGAAAGCACATTTTCATTCATCTTTGAGAAGGCAAGTGGAGCCAGAGAAATCTCCATTTTTACCGGCCAGCTCCTTAAAAAGAGCAAGTGTTCCGTGATTTTTGAGTGAATGGATGATGAAGGTTAATGTTACCCCTGCTCTTATCTCCTACATAAAAAGAAAAGGCCACTGGCTCTGAATGATAACAGGTCTCGTACTATAGTCTCAGGTTTTGTAAGGATAGGCCCTTCCAGATAACTGGATTTTCCAGGTATATAAATGTCAGCAAGAAGAGCCTTTCTGTTTTCAGTGCTGTCCCTCAGCCTACCTAGCTATCCCTCCTAACAAAATATTGAGCCTCTTGCTGGGCCCGCATCATCCTGAACACCGATTCTCATTTCACAACTCAGGGTCTACATTGTGGTTAGAGAGTTTAAAGAAGTCAGGCCTTTTTTTTTCGTTTTTCTTCAAATTCAGGCCTTCTTATCAGCCTGTTTATTATGATTTATAGTTTTCTCTAAAATGAAGAGAAAAAACAAATCCAGCTGGGTTTCCTGGTAATCAAAGCTCAGTTGATTCCTAGGGCACACAATAACCAGGAAATGAAGTAGAAAGTGGTCAGGAGGGGCGCCTGGGTGGCTCAGTCGGAGCCTTCAGCTCCTGTCATGATCCCGGGGTCCTGGGATCCAGCCCCACCTTACCTCGGGCTTCCTGCTCAGCCGGGAGTCTGCTTCTCCCTCTCCCTCTGCCCCTCCCCCCTGCTCATGCTCTCTCTCTCTCTCTCTCTCTCTCTCTCAAAAACAAATAAATAAAATCTTAAAAAAAAAAAAAGAAAAAAGTGGTCAGGAAAACCGCTGCCAGAAACCAGGTTTGTTGACTTTCTCATAGTGTCCAAGAGCTCCAAATTACAATTATGTATTTGGGGAGAAACGAGCCTGGGAGGATTTTGGAATTCACTCAATTATTTGAATGGAATGTTCTTTTCCAAGATATCTCCTAGTCTGTTTCTCTGGTCTCCTTCACGTTTCTGCTCAAATATCACCTTATCAGTGAGGCCTTCCCCAGTTTACGTGAAATAGCAACCTGTGTCCCGCTCCCCACCCCCGCAGCCCTCCCTCGCGCTCTTTTCTGCCGGGCCCACGACCTGTTGCACAGCTGGTCCAATGTTCACGGCACCAACGCGGCAGCCCTGCTCCTTAGCACCCTCACCATCTGATGTACGCCTTCTACTGGCTGGCTTTCCCCTCTCTCTGAGGGTAGGTATTTTTGTCTGGCTCACAGCTGTATCTCCAAGTGCCCAGAACAATGCTGGGCATATAGTAGATGCTCAGCAAATACTTACGGACGGATTAACTAATTCTAGCATCTTCTAAAGCTCTGGTCTAAGAGTTCCCAACTTTAAGGTCTTCCTGTCTCATGGGACAATCAGACCTGAATGCAAACAATTGCAATAGGATGGGATCAGAGAGCAGTGCGCTGGGATGAGATACTGGCCAGGGGCTGGTGCTTGATCGAGGATAAACCTGGATTCTAGCCTGGAACTATCCCATACATAGCTCTATGACCTTGGGCGAATTACAAAACTTCCCCGGACCACATCTTCTTGACTTGGAGATGACCAGAGTAGCACATATCTAGTCTTACGGGTCTGTGATGAGGAGCCAGGGAAGGGATGCCCACAAGTGCTGATACTCAGAAAATCTACAGGAGGTGCCTGCCGCTTTGGGTCAGAACTTTACAGAAGAGAGCCGCAGATGAGCAGAGCAGAGAGCCTAAGCCTGCCCGGTGCTGCTGGGAATGCTCGTCAGTAAGGGGACAGAGCCTGAAATAAATGAGAATCCTCTTCACCATGCATAGAGTGAAGTGCCATATTGAAATTTCCTGTGCTTAATGCATGAAACTTTTTTTAAAATGAGGACTGAATCTACTAGTGAAATGAATGCGTATTTGGGATAGGGGCTTCTCCCACCGGAAATGGGTTATTGACAAGTCTCCCAGTAACCCAATCTGGCTTCAACCTTCCCTACATCTCCATTGAGTTGCCATCCTCTCTAAACTGGAGTGTCAGGGGAAAAAGTCCAACTTGGTATTGAAATATTAGGTATTACTGCCACTCGCCACCATCCCCATCACAACCCACCATTGCTTTGGCAACAGAGGTTTGGCTAGGCAGAACATATTGTCCTTCTCAGAAAGAGTTAATTCCAGCTCTGGTTCCAGATCAGGTTCCAAATCAGAACACTAAGTCTACAAGGAAAACAAGGAGTAAATCCCCTTTTTAATCACTGGTGTATTTTTTTCCTTTCCCTCTCCCTCAGTAGATCCCAAACTATTAACAGTCTCCTTTGGACAGATCTTCCCATCCCTGCATTCAGGAATCTTTAAAGACAGTGACACACAGCTCTCGGGTTTGATCAGTTTCACAACTCATTGTGCTGTAACTTAGGTGAGTATTCTAATTGCTCTTTGGCAATTGGGAGTTGAGAATTTTGAGATGGGAGAAAGCGCTCAAGGCTAGGACTCAGCTATATAGACAGGTTTACCACTCGTCTCTTCTTATCTGCAAAACCTACGATAGTGGCATAATCAGGCTAAATGAAAAAGGGGGGGCATTATGTAAATTTGACATTATCACAATCTTTTTCAATTGATCAAGATTCTGAAGTTCCAGCCTAATAACAAACATCAGGCAATCCTTAGTAAGCTTGTGAGTCAGTGATATGACTCAAATTTTACTACTCACTCTAAAAGACTAAAAGCCATAGCAAATTGGGCAGAGATGTACAATATTAGTAACCACTAAATCATAACTAGTTGAAAGGCAACGGTTTCTTCTGGCGACAATTTGCTTTGTGTTTAAAGTAACCATTACCGCATGTTTAAGAAGGAAAAAATAAAGTAGTAAGAAGAGGAGAGGGAAAACAACTCATTTCTAATTTGAGGCCTGGCTCCACAACCGTATTTCTTAAGTTAAATTTTAAGTGCTCCCAAAAGGAGTTTTCTGGGGCGGTAGAAACGTTCTCTGCATTGGAGTGTGGATCACACAGGTGCACAAAATCTACCGAATTCTTTCCATTTAACGATCTTAAATTTTTACATCAATTTAAAGGAAAAAAATTGTGGTAGCTCACACCCTGAAAGTTATGTCTAGGAGGTACTTCCACTGGAAATATAAACCTAGGATTAAAATGGTTTTGTTTTTAATTCTGTTTAATAAACACTGCAAAAATGGCAAGGACTGTAACAACAAGAAACTGGAAAATTACCAAAGATGTGTTTGAATTTGAACTGTGTGTTTCATACGCTGTGAAAGTACCTCTCATCTAGTAGCTCACACTAAAAACCAACTTTCCATGCTAAACCTTTAGAACATGAAAGTCATAATGTCTGTACCAAAACAAATCATTAACAACCTAGTTGTTCTGAAAAACATTCTTGAGTTCTGTTTGGGTTCCTTTCCGACGGGAAAAGGTGTTCTAACTCCTTGACGCATTTACTAGGAAGTAGATACGTTGCTGGTGGCCGGGCCCTTACTCAAAGAGATAATACTTTAACATGGGCTATAAAAGCGAGACTGTTCTATGTGCTTATAGTCTGGGCTTAATGATTAATAGCACCCTCTTTTACTCTCTAGAGTCACAGTTCACCTGATAAACTTATTGACCAAATTACACTGGTTGCTCCCTACCTTCAAAGCCTCACATGGTGTGGCCTCCCTTCCTTCATCCCCTCCAGTCCACTCCATCCCTCCCAAGCACCATGGACTCTCCAGCCAGACTTTGCGTGCTGTTCTGGATTCCGCCTTCTTCACGCAAACCCCCACTCACCCTACAGATGCAGCTCGTGTTCCTTCCTCTGGGAGGCATCTGTAAGATATCGCCGTGTCCATCACAGCTCTTAGGACACCCCATTCACCACTTCCTTCCCTTAGTGCGTATCAGGCCCAGGTTTTCTATACGTTTGGTAACTTCTGCCGCCACTAGGCTGGAAGCCCCTTGAAGGCAGAGATGGTGACCATTTGTGAATCCTGAGCTTGGCACAGTATGTGGCACAGAGAGGGACTTAATAAGTAGTTAATGAATGTGGTAGATACAGGACAAAACACCAATCATATTCTAACCATTAGAAAGGATCCCAGGAGGGGCGGCTGAGTGGTGCAGTCATTTAAGAGCCCGACCCTTGATTTCGGCTCAGGTCGTGATCTCGGGGTTGTGAGGTCAATCCCCACCTCAAGCCCCACATCAGGCTCCACACTCAGCGTGGAGTCTGCTTAAGACTCTCCCTCCCTCTCCCTCTGCTCCTCCCCCACCCCGCATGCGCTCTTGGTCTCTCTCTCTCAAATAAATACATCTTTAAAAAAATAAAAAGGAAGAAAAGAAGGGATCCCAGGAGACATAAAGGACACAGTAATGGGGGAAATGCAAGAATCTGGGAGTTAGGAGAAGAGAGCTCGTGCCTAACGTTTTAGTATTACCTAAGGCTCCATCTCTAACTCTATAACCGTAACTACTGTCTCAAGGGATAACTGTTCTGACAACACAGACTGGCCACCTTAACCTTGTTTTAATTAGTTCCAAACTCTTATTATTCTTCCATCACAATCTTAAACATTATAGGAACACATTGACTAACCTACAAGGCTACGCACAACTCCAAGCAGGCCTGAACCACGCAGGGAATTTAAGATGCAGGACTTCTGAAAGGGTCAGAGGAATTATGCTTCTGAGTTTCTTGCGGTTCTTTTAAGAATGGGGCCCTTTGTTTCCCGTACCATCGCAAAATACATTAGCAAGAAGCTCTGCTGGCTGAGTACCTACTTCACTGAGGTCTGCAGTAATGCTATGCAAGCCAGCATCAAGCGATTCAATGAAGGTATGTTCACATAGAAAAAGGGACTTGAGTTTAAACCAAAAAGAACACGTGGTAGCTCATTCATTTATGACTAACTACAAGAAGTCCATTACATTATTAGTGATTCAAGCAAATGCATCAGCTTACACCCCAAGAAACTCAAACCCAGACTGATAACTTAAGAGGCTGCTTTTCGTTGCAGTAAAGGAAGTACTCACACCACTCTAGATTAAGAAGAGATTGAGAACCACTGAGTTCTGTTTGAAAACCACTGTTTGAAACAAAAGCATGGCCAAATACCAATGGCTTGAAGGACTGCAAACCCTGGGAAAAGTCAACTTTATACAGCAAACAGACGCGAGGATTAAACCAGATAAAGCACACAAACGTGCACCGCACGGAGCTGCCTGGCTACACACACTTGGTGGTTCCATCTCTCAGCTGTAAGGTGTTCAATACAGACGGAAGGGCTGAAGGGATGCCTTCTTTTGTGCCCTTTACTGAGAAAACAGCCCATACTGAAAAGCACTGTGTTAAGGACCCAGCTCAGGAAAGTCTGCGAAATAAATGGACATGCCTGGGTTGTCTGTAGTTCCCCTTTATTTTTTTTTTTTTTTTTTTTTTTTAAGATTTTATTTTATTTTTTATTTATTTGAGAGAGAATGAGAGACAGAGAGCAAGAGAGGGAGGAGGGTCAGAGGGAGAAGCAGACTCCCTGCCGAGCAGGGAGCCCGATGCGGGACTCGATCCTGGGACTCCAGGATCATGACCTGAGCCGAAGGCAGTCGCTTAACCAACTGAGCCACCCAGGCGCCCCTGTAGTTCCCCTTTAAAAAGGGGTCCATTTTCCTTCCCATGGTATTTCAAAAACACAAGTACATTTCCTACAGCTATTGGCTGAAGCGGACTTAAAAGAAACTAAACAATCTCAGTGACGTCAAATCTTCAAGAAACCAAGAAAACAATCTGCTTAATTTGCCTCCGTGAGATAGACTATTCAACTTCCAAGAATCCAACCATTCTTTGCTAGATGTTTTCATGTTTAACGGACTTATTTGTATCCCATTTCACATATGGAGTGGTGGGCTCAGGCTAAGCAAATTGTCCAAAGTCCCACACTGCATTCCAGCTCATTCTTCAGAGTCCAAGACTAGTGTTCTTTATACTGGGTCCCAAATGCCTCCTGAAGAAAGAAGCCTCCTTTTAAGACAGTTCTATGCCTTGTGAGCATGGACAGCGACAGGGCTTCAAGGTTAACATGACCAAAGAAGGCTAGCTAGCAAGCGGAAATTAAAACCCGCATGTTCCAAACACTGGGAAACACCGTGAATCAATCATACTTCTCAATACGACAATAGTTAAGAGCTCGGGTTCTTGGGCCAAAAGCGCCCAATTTCAAATTATGAATGAGCTATTTACTAGCCGTTGGACTCTGGGGAAAATTATTTAAACTCCTTAAGCCTCAGCTTCCCATCTACAACATGAAGATTAAAAAATACTGACCTACCTATCTGCCAACCTCACCCAGTTGTTGGGAGGTCAAATGAGAAATGTATGTTGGTAACTTGAAGGCTCACAAGGGTAATTTATGGGAAATACAATTCCATTTAGTCTATTGACTCAAGGGGACAACACTGCCATAAATCAAGACTGGAAGATGTATCCAATCCTGTTTATAGTGCGATTGTCAAACCTTGTCATCTTAGGTTTATGCCCACTTACAGAATCTTCTCAAATAAAGTCCAATTTGCAGTCATCTTTCCTTCCTACAAATTTAGAGATTGCTCAGAACCAGAGAGAAAAGATACAAGAGACTTCTGGCTAACCCATAACTGCTAAAGCTAATTTAATCACTGATGGGCGACGACGTTAACTCCGTTCTTTTACCACTATGCATGCAAATAAAGGAAATGTTACAAGAGCCCTAACATTTAAAAAGAAAATTTCTAAAAACATAAAATGTGGATCCTGACACATAGCAGTACCTAGTTTAATATGTAGGAGCACACAGACTTTGAATTGACAGGACACTTAACTTGGGGTTGTTTCTGTTGGCTGTAAAAGAGGTCTTAATTTTACAAACAAGGACCTAAGCAGATAAGCAAAAATTAGACAAGATAACCCTCTTTGAAATGCTACAACGGCTTCTTATTTGAAGACTTATCACTTAATGTAATAATCACAAGTTATTAAGAGAGCACTCATCTGCCTTAGTGATGATCTAGAGAACCAGTCTCTAAACATTTTTGATTAGTGTACCCCTATCAACAGAATACATCCCCAATCTATGTGTATTTGTTTATAAAATATACCATGTGCTTGTACACACACACACGTGCAAAAATACTTTAAGAGAATGACATAAAGGTACTCTGGAGATCACCTATCTAGAGAATTATTAAAACTAAATATACCCAGAAATGACCATGTCTTCTGTTAGGATTTGAAACAATAATTAGTTTGATGTGATAGTCTCCAAAGACAGGAATGCAGTAAACTCCACCGTTGTTTCCTGCCTGGTGGTCTCTATCGTGATGTTAGGAGTCTGGCCGACACTTAATCACCCTTCTGTCTTCAGGAGTGGGGTCACAAATGGCCTTCACAACTTAAAGGTACAAGGAAAGAGGCTAATAATCAAGTAGTTTATAACAGCTTAAAAAATATTTTCCCTTTATAAAATACATAGACATTAAGCATTATATTTGAATTTCTTTAAAAATGCCTTTAGGAGCATGGTTTCTTTTTGCTTCCCATCCATTCCTCCCCCAAGCCCAGTTTCCACTTAGCATGGGCCATAAACCTTACTACCACTTTGACCTGCATATTCACAAACAGTGCAGACTTTGTCCCAGATTCATGAATTACAGAATCCTTACAATAATAGTATTTCTTTTCCCAAACTCTCTGCCAAATGACTTTGCTGCACAAACCTCTAGATATTCAACATTAAAATGATAAATTATCATGAAAAGGCTCCTATAAAAGTCAGAAGCTGAACTCCAAAATATTCCTTGTGAGATTATTCAACTGCGAAATGACAGAAAACACTTACAAAAATTGAAAATCCTTAACTGGAAATTAAATGGGAAGCCTTATTATTTTTCTATCATTTGACACATTGAACAATACCAAAAGAAACGAGCTAGCTAAGGTAAAACTGCGGTCAAAAGACTGGTCCACAAATTAATTGTTGAGGAAATGGTGTCAGTCCTCACTCTTGATACAACCTAAGGCTTACTTGCTTAGGAGCACCGTAAAGCTACATAATGTAACATCTGGTTTAATGTTTCTTCACTTTATGCTTTTCTCAGAAAAAAGAAATATATATATATATCTCAAGATTTATGGAAATAGCCAGAAACTGTAACTCATCACATATAAATTCCTCTGGCCTATCTGCATTAATATAAATGACTTCAGGATTCAGTTAAGCAGCTTAGTTTGGTTAGTAGTACAAACTATTTTACTACAAAAGTTTTTCATACTGTTATTATGTTCCAAACATGAAAAATAAAGGATTACCGTATTTTAACAGAAGCCATGTACAAAAGTTCAGGTGCAGACTGAAATGGGACTGAACAATCGAAGTCCCTATGCCTTCAGATAAAGAAGAAATCTATTGTTTCAGACAATCCGAAACAAAACTATTGGTAAATTCTCCCCACAGCTTATCAATAACATCTTATCACATTAGCTGAAACAGGGGTGCAAAGGGGAGAGGAATGATCTTTAAACTTTAATATATAGTATACTGTTTTAACCTTTAGTTACTAAACACCAGAATAGTCAGGAATACTGCTTCCTTTTAACAGGAAGGCCAATTCCAAGATCTGTAATCCCTAGACAAAACAAAATTCCTTGCAACTGCTAACAGTGACTTGAGGAAATAATTTGTGCAACTGTACCAGAAAGCCATTTTCTAGCGGCCTTTGCAGTCTATTAATGTAGAAATATTGTCAATGAAGGGTACGGACAGACAAGGGACTCCCGTTCCAGACTGAAGAGGAAGACAGCCACATTATCCTGCATGAACTAGGGGAAGCCTTGCTTCAGCATTATGGAGCAAGACAGTACTTACATTTGGAGAAAAGGAAGTACTGTTAAAACTACCCATTAAAATTCAGAAAGTAACACCCCTAAACATATTGCCAATAATTATGAACTCTTGGTGCCAATTGCAATTAATGATTTTGAAAGCAGTCATCCTCTCTTGAAAGGATTTCTGAGAAACTATCTTTTCGCTCAGGCAGTATAAAAGCCTTTTCAATTATCACTATTGCATTTCTTAAAAGCACACAGAAATGATGACATGTGCAGGTCTGGCACACACCTGCGTGTGCATACAGCAGACACACAAATGTTTCCATCAACAGAGCTAGGCAAAACACTCCCCAGAAGCAATGAATGAGACATCTCAAACAAACAGCTACTGTACTGTAGACAATTGTCTGGGCAATATAAGGTTAAGGTCACAGCAAACAGCCAGATGCTAGGTCTCAGGGATGCTTGCAAGCCTTTTTAAAGAGGAACTTAACAGCTCTTTACATGCCAGACCTCACCTAAACTCTAAAATGAAATGTCTATTAAGTGTTCTTCCTACCGCATTTCTTTTTAAGCACCTAAAAGTCAGATGTCAAAATCTTCAAAACTTATTTTCCATCTGAGAATAGGTTCTATGACACAGTTTTAGGTACTAGAATATATTCAACTCTCTGGATACTTCGCCTTTGATTCCAATGATTTAGTATGCAGAACTTTATCCATCACCTGGCTTCAAAGGAGTTACCAGATGCGACGCAGTTGGCAAACACCCGTCATCAGAACTGGGGTGAGACCGGGGTAAAGACTCTACTACCAGTTGTTTTACTGCACGTTCAAATCTGAAAAACTGGGAGACTTTCTCAAAGAACACACTGAAAAATAAAACCATAATAATTGGCAAGGGGGTTCCATGTGCTGTGGTTATTATAATGCAAATGCCCAAGAATGGCCTATAAAGTACACACACACAGCCTGTATTCTAAATACCTGCGTATTCAGCTGTATATTCCTGTGTAGTCTACAAAATCAGTCATTAATAAATCCCCAAATTTGGCTCTACTGATTTCAAGTAATTGACTTCAAGTAACCTAAATTGTGAAATATTTCGTGTACATGTTTACATAAATAGCTCCCAAAAAAGCCACTCTATGGTAAGTCACTTAACTGTGTAGAGAAAAACTCAAAATTCCCCACTTTCAATTTCCACTGAAGAACCATGTTATCCTCTACAACCAAAGAATTACCAACAAGTTTTTATCATATGCGGTAGTGATCTACACTCCAGCACTCAATGTTTCATTTAGGTTCTTAGAATTTACCTGAAACAGAACTCTGAAAATGAGGAATCAAAAACTCACATTTCAACTTTTGAGAATAAAAATTCATAAACATACCTTTTGTTGAATTCCAGCTTAAGTGATTTTTATGTAAATCTTGCAGCTGATGAAAAGCAAAAAGCAACCAATCCCTGCAGTGATTATTAGTCTGTTCTTTAAGACTATGGGTCATCTGCCCCAGGATTTTCTAATTGAACAAGAATTCCATGGGGCAAAGTAATTGTTTCTCAAAGGTGGGCCAGAATGGACCCAACGATCTTCACTTCAACGGGGAAGCAATGACATGCAAATTCTGAGTATCACTTTGTTTGGTAGATGTTACCTTTGTCTCTTATCCTCATTTCATGAGATTAGCCTGGGAATGTGTCCATGTTTTGACTTTAGAGATCAAAAAAAAAAAAAAAAAAAAAGTTACCCTGTGTTTCCTCTAACACCTAAATATGTATACACAGATCCTCTTCACTCCTAGCAAATGTTTTTCAGCATGACCAGTGTGCAACTGACATTCACATAGCTTATAGAACCTAAGTCTTCTGAGAAACATATCTTTTATAGCTGAACCTCTATAATCATGACAAGAGATTGATTAAAATGCCAAGATAAGAAACAATTTATTATAGAGAGAAGAAAAATTTCTCATCCAAAATATAGAAATCTGTACAACTTTGCCACAATCAATATACATGAACTGTACAAATTTACACCAGTTCATAATTTACCAAATAAAAGATGACTAACAAAGTTCACAAAATAGATGGTGGTTTGTGGAAAAGACTTTTACCCAATTAAGTACAAGGAAAGTTACAAACCAGACCTCCACTTTCTAAAAATAAGAAGTTTACTCAGTCTTAGAAAACTACAAGCTAGCAAATGTACAGAGAGCTGGCTGGTGCTAACACCACAGTTGAGACAGTGTCTTTTTAAGGGTCTTTTTAAAAGCCTGTTGCCATGGCGGATTCTGGTCACTTGTTACTCTCAAGGCCAAAAACACAATACAAGGTCTGACCATTTCCCCAGGTCATGCTTACTAGGTTTGTCTTATGTACATTTATACATATTTAAGTGCTAGGTAAAAGTCTTGTCAAAATTTCCAGTACTACCATGTTTAAAATGTTGAGCTTTCCTATTGAGCTGCCAAAAAAGTTAACAATTTTCAAGTGTAATAGTGCAAATTTCCTCTGCAAGATCTACTGCAGAGAAAGGTTCTTTGAAATACAGATTTGCCTTAAAGGGGTTGATGGAAAAAATTTAGGTATAACATCTGGGAGAAACTGAAACCACCCTAGGACTTCACTCCCTAGCAAATAAAGTGATCATTTACTTGGACTCACAGGCTATTAAATCATTGAAAGGTACTGTCCAAACTATGGCACTGTCACTTTAAAAAATTTTTTTTTTACCATTCTATCTTGTGCCAGATCTTCACAGCTGTGACATGGTTTAAATTCCATAATCCATCCCCAAGAGGAGCCCACCCAAAGCAAAAATCAAATTTATCCATCCATTATAAGATGATCCATCCACAGACTATATCTTAACCTGATACAGTCATCATATTGTAGTTTTTGGAAGGGCTGGTTCTGCCCAAGAGAAGTTCCTCCTTACAGCTGATTCTGCTGTCTACCATTTGCACGTTGGTGCTGTTTTGAGTGCTACCTCCTGCTGGTGAGGCTTCATACAGCACGCAGATGGAGCCATCCTCTCCGATTCTGTAGGACACTTCGTAGGGGTCAACCCAGAGTGTGAGTTCACTTGGGAGAAGCCTGAACAGCTCCTGACTGCTCAGTCCAATCCGCTGTGCTGCCTGTCCAATCAGAGGATCCATTTTATGGTTGATGCGAATACAACGGTAACCTGATCCCTTGCACGGCTTTTCTGGGAACCAGTGATGTTTATAATGTTCTATAGGGGGAAAAAAAACAAAAAACAGAGAAACAATGCTTTAGATCGTTACTGTTAGATCCCGCTGTAGCTTCCTTCTTCCGCTGGCTCCTTTGAGAAGTGAAAAATTTAAACGATCAACTTTTAAAAATGCCCAGCATCGCTCTCGCCGCTGTGCGTGTGCGGGGCTGGGGAAAGAGCGGGCAAGGCTTTAGAAACAACACAGTAGCATGGGACAAAACAATCTCCAGGAACCAACCGGTCGAGCCGCCAAAACAGGAATCGGGCGCGCGGCCTCGGCTGGCCGGGCAGCCGGCTGGCACCGGCGGCCAGGCGGGAACCTGTTTACTTTCTCCACCCCACCCCAGCCGCACACAATGGGGTTTATGGCTTTGGAGGAGAAGCGCCACCGGACTGTTAACCCCGAAGGGAAGAAAAACAAGCAACCCTAAACCACGCTCTGGGCAGGGCCGTAACTGAACCGGTGACAAATGCGATGATTAATGGTCAGAGGTAGGAGGCGCGGGGAGACAGCACGTCCGTCCCGGGCTGGCCCCGGGGCAGCGGCGCGGTTTCCCACCCCCGGGCCGGGCCGCCGAGCCCACAACGGTTGGAGGGGGCTGGGGGAGGGGGCGTCGAACCAACCCCAGCCCCGCAGTTCCTTTGTCCCCAAATCCGCGGACGGTCCGAGGACCGCGGCTCCCGCCTCAGTGGCTGTAGTTTCTTTGTTGTGCGCCTGTTTCCTTCTCCCCTCGGTGGGCCAGCCGTGGGGGGAGGGGGCGCCCTCGGCCCAGCCCCCAAACCCTCGCCGGGACCCGCCGTGAGCGGCCACCTAGCGCGCCAGCCCGGGTCCCGCGGCGGGACCCGAGCGCTGCCCGCCCGGGGCAGAACCGTGGCTCCCGCGGCCCCGACGGCTCGGCCCGCCTCCCGCCCAGGGTGTGCGGTCCGCGTCCGCCCGGCGCCCCTCGCACTCCCGCCGCAGCCGGCTCACCTGCCAGCAGCTCCTGCAGGCTCTGGCTGAAGGTCTGCAGCTGTCGCTCGCTCGTGAGCCCCTTGGTGCGGAGGAACTTGGAGATGAAGGACACGGCAGCGGCGATCTCGCCTATCATGGTGGCGGCCCGGCTGTAGAAGGGATGCATGGGGGCGGCGGGCGGGGGCGGCCCGGGGCGGCCGGGGCTCGGCGGCGCGGCCCCGACGGCGGAGCGGCCACCCCGGGCTCCCTCGCAGGTCAGAGGGCTGAGAAGAAGAAAGGGCGGGAGGGGCGGACAGCTACTTTTTTTTTTCTCCTTTATAGTAAAAAAGTTATTTTCACGACAGGAAGCGGCAGGCGAGAGGAAGAGACGAGCGACGGCGGCCTGGTCACATCGCTCGGACTTCCCCAGCCGCCTCCGCGTCCAGCTCCCCAGCCTCCGAAGCTCCCAACAGTTGCATTTCCAGCTCGGAGGGGCGAAGACACACAGGCGCCGTGCAGTAGCTTTTATAGCGCCGCGGAAAGGAAGTGGCGTAGCTGGAGTATGACGGCCGACTGCAGCCAATCCGGAGATCGCACCATTGTGACGCAGCAGATTCGGAGCCGGAGGGGGCGGGAAAAGGGAGCAGGGGGCGGATGCAGAGACCGGGAAGAGAGGGAGGAGCTGACGTAATCCGCTTGTAAACAAATAAACTCCCGAGCGGCGGCCGGAGACCGGCGGGCTGTGGCCAGGGGACCGAGCCGAGCGAGGGCGCGCGTGTGAAAGCCCCGCCCCAGCCCTAGCTCCTCCTTCCCGCTTCCGCAACTCCGGGCCCAGCGCCAGGGCATCCTCTGCGAAAGTGCGCTGCCTGGGCTCGCTCGCCGGGAGGCTCAGTGCTGGGCAGTAAAAGCCGCTTTGCTTAGGCTGTCCGCGCGCGCGGATCCCGTCCCCGCTCCGGTCTAAGAGGCTGGATCACCAAGCTGGAGGCGTGTGCGGCGCAGCGCGGTTCGGGTCCCGTGCCAAAGGTGCGGGGACGCTCAGCCGGGGTGCGGAGAAAGTGGAGCCAGCGGACCTTTGCGGGTCTTTCTGCAACCCCAGGGAGTCGGGGTCTCGTAGTAGAAGCGCTGCCAATTCCAGGGAGGCGATCCTGCTCCACCCTCGGGGAGGAGTGGGGGGGTGTCTTTGTAAAGTTTAATTGCAAAATAAATAAAAGGTTAGTAAGCCTTTTATGGTTGCTGTTTCAGTAACTTCTGGAGGTAAACGAGGAGTGGAGACCTTACAGGATCCAACTTAGTGCTGATAAATGTAGTAACGCGGATTCTGTCAAGTTTAAGCTGTAGGAGGTTGGGGAGGGGAGTTGCATAATGCATTTTACACCGTGTATACGCTAACCAGAGATTCTTTTTTTAGAGAATAACTGTCGGGCCCTTAGAGTTCTGCTGCTCATTATAAAAACAGAAGAAAATAAAGATTAAATTTGAAGCTTGTGAAAGTATTAGTCGTAGACGTTTGAGTTTACTGGAAACCTTACTTGCAAAACTAGAAAAAAAAAGTGACGGTTGTACTATGGCTTGAGCCTGCTAAAACGATTAAGCCTAAGAGAGGGTTAACCCTAACTCCATTAAGGAGGAGGAAAAAAAAAAAAAAAAGATGGTGAGTGGGGCAGATGGAGAAAGCAAACAAGAGGCAGAAGTTGAACTCTACCAGATGGAAATAAATATCCTGAGTTTTGTTGGTCATCAGTATTGCAAAACACACCACTTTGAGTTGTGTGTGTGTGTGTGTGTGTGTGTGTTTAAAATACTGAGCCGAAGGGTACAGAAATGAAGCAAAAGTAGGACGTTATAAAGCAGAGGGAGAAAACGTTTTATTGTTTAAATGAAATATTTAAAACTGGGTTTGAAAGAACAACTTATAGATTATTTTTTTCATTCATACGCAATAATTAGTTACATGTGACCTAAGTTAAATACTTTAAAGATGGTATTGTTAAAAGCATTGACTTTTGTGAATGTCTTAATTTTCTTTGGATGAGTGCATCAAAAATAATGGTAAATAAGGTACGTTTTTTCCTTTTAGGACTTTTCAGATAGAACTGTGCTTTAAAATAGGCGTCATGGTAATTCACTGAGGACATGAAACCTCTTTTACTACTCAAAAAGGAGACAGGGAAACAGAAGTAAATTCTTAAAATCACAATAGTCCTAGCACAAGATCTCCTGATATCCCTCCTAACTCCACCCACCCTTAATCTGCTCCGTTCATTTCCTTCACGTTATCAGTCATTTGAGCATTAGATGAGAAATCAAATGAAGGTTTTTCTCCTCCAAGCCTGGTCTCCAACTTGGACTCCTGATAATTCTGAGCTTCATTTGACTCCTCTGAAATTCAAACAATTTATGAAGTTAACAAAATGCTAGCATTTGAACTCAGACTTGTTTCCCAAGGGCACATTCTCTCCACTTTTAACTGCCTTCCCAGGCAGTGGCTGGACCCCTTCTGAAAGCTTTTTAAAATCAGTTGAATAGGGTTACCAGAAAGTTAAACTCACCCCCACACTGTTTTTTTATCATATGTGTATGTTTCCCTCCTTAAATCATTCTTTGAAGTGACAAGTGGATTTAAGAATTTACTCTTCTACCTGGGGAGTCTAGGGAGAACTCAGAGAAAGAACTGGAAATAAATATTGGTCCTAAATGCAAGCTTTAGATAGTGCACAATGTTAATTACTAACAGTTTTCAATTCTGGACATATATATGTTTAATAGTATTTTTCCAGAGGTTTAGTCAGGTTCTTCCCATCTATAAAGCAAGCTGGTGTTTCTCAACAGCTTTTGAATTATAGAGGCACTTTCTCATTTTGCTGTTAGCTTAAACTATAGGGCAGTCTCAACTACAGTTGACCCTTGAAAAACGCAGGTATTAGAGGCAAAGAGCCACAAGCAATCAAATCCACATATTACTTTGGACTCCCCCAAAACTTAACTATTCATAGCCTATTGCAGACCAGAAGCCTTACCAATAACATAAAGTCAATTAACACGTATTTTGTATATTTTTATACAATGTATTCTTATAATAAAGTAATGCTGAGAAAAGAAAATGTTATTAAAATCGTAAGAGAAGATACATTTATAATATAGTATAGTATATAAAAAACTCCTATAAGTAGACCTGCGCAGCTCGAACCTGTGTATTTGAAGGGTCAACTGTCTTGACAAACCCAACTCTCTTGGCTGTGTGTAAGAGGCAAGTTACTTGCTTCTCTGCATTCTATTTCCTTCAGAAACTTAAAGGTTGTTGTGAGGACTAAGTAGAATAATTATAGAGACTATTTAGCACTCTCTCTGGCACTAAGGAAGCATCCAAATATATATATTAGCTGGCTTATATTGTCATCAGGCAATTTGATAATATCAAATTTATTTCCCAAACCTAGAAAAATTTAAATCAAAGCACTAAAAACAAACAAACAAAATTTGGGAATTCTATCAAAGCAAATCCAGAAAATGAACCTGGGTTTCAAAATAAGTTTGCAAGTAAAAGCACAAACGTCAGGTGTTTGTAAAGAGTGCTTAGAAGTTCAGAAAGTTCTATCTATAGAGGTAACTATTGGACAACTAACTAGAATTCCAAAGGGCCGGGGATTTATATTCCCATCCCTCAGCTCAACTGTTACTAGAACAGTTTGCTCTGGACTAACAAATCAGAGCAACCTGGACACTTTTTGAGTATTCTGTTTTTTAACCAAAAAGAGAAAGAGAGAAAAAAAAAATAAACATTTACATAGGGTAGGAGAATGAACTTCTTTATTTCATAGACTAGTGAAATTTAAGGATGAACACAAGGTTGAAAATGTTTTATTTTGCCAAAGATTTTTTTTAAAAAAAAATCACATTACCATCTGCTATCACTATCATTTTGGGAAAAGGATGACATTTTAACATCCTCAAAGTCGGAAAGGTACCCATGTTAGGATAAAGCATGGTCTTTTTAATTGAATAAATCTTAAGTCACTAAATGCCACTTTTTGAATGCCATCATGGTCTGCATTTGGGAACTCATCTAAACTATTTATCTATAAAGATGATAACACTAAATTAAATTAAGCTATTATGCTATTCATTTTATATGCTAGTCCCACTGCCTGAGATACCTTCTCCCGTTCTCCTTTCCCTAGCTAATTTCTGCTCACCCTCCAAGAAGCTTTTGTGACTCTTTGCACTTGAGTAAATGTCCACAGTATTCTGTTTTCCCTTCCCCTGGCTCTGGGACTCAGCAAACACTAGATTTACTATGTTTACAAGTCTCTCTTTCTTTCTAGTCTGTAAATTCTTTGAGGACAGGCATCTTATGTAATTCACTATTGTATCCCCAATGCCTAATGCCCAACGCATAGCCAGTGCTCTTGAATGATGTTAAATAGACATATCAAAATACAAATGAGTCAAATCAAAACCATGACTTGCAATTTGTCAGATGAAAAATAATATAGAGAGAGTTTTTGTGGCTTAAAATTGGACAGTCAGTATTTGAGAGGACAAGATAAGTAACTCAACTCCATGGCACTTTTTTCCCTGGCTGCCATGTTAGATTATTGCAGAAATTGCTTTTGTAAGTAAATATTGTTCTAGGATAGACCGCATTTCCAGAGCAAATGAAATGGAGGCCAAAGTAACTTAGATATATTGCTCAGGAATATTGTGGTAACATCCACATTGCCAACATTTCAGATTTTTTACTTTGTATCCCTTTATGCTATGTAGACATGTTTTAGTATTTTTCTATCTGGTTAGCCATGGTGTCATTTGCTTATGTACCACTCTCTCATACTGCCCTTCCATCCTGAAGTTGCTCAGGAGGTGTCCTTCCTATGCTCTAGTCTCTCAGTTCATTCATGAGATCCAGGATTCCTGGATTATTGCTGGGAAAGGCCCAGAATTTTTCTAATGGCTGTATTGCAGTTCACAAGTTTGTCTGGAAGGCCTTTGCCCACCATCCCTCTGTATACAGTAATCCCACGTGGCCAAGGTCTTGTTCCCCATCTGGACCATCCCTCTCCCAAAGGCGCAGTTAGACCCATAGACTTCCGGGCTGAGCTGGAGGTGGCTTCATTGTTCCCAGTCAGCTAGCTGCGTTCGCTAAAATTGTATTTGTCCTGAACTTACTTCCAGATGTTAGGTGTCTACGGTGCTTGCTTTGAAAACTCACAGCTTAGCCAAAAAGTACAGGGGGGAGTGGGAGAGTTCTCTATAGGGTTAACAGCACACAGAGACAAGGCATTCATTCCTGTGTGTGTTTGGCTACAGAAGGAGATAAGAAAGCCCCAAAAGTGAATAATCTCTGCTAAACTCTGCTGAAGTGAATAGTCTCTGCTAAATTATAAAGTTGACCCATAATTAGTTCTCTTTAGAAAGAAGAAAAGGAGGGGCCTGACCTTGCAGTATTTTAAATTCTTAAACCAATATAAGGAAAATAAGTATTTTTGAAAAAAATTGGTGGTGGGGCTGAGGCA